AGATTTGGGGATGTGTAATGCCCAATCTTCGTACCCATTAGCTCTTAATGCTCTGTTAATGTGTTGTTATTTACTAGTTTTATCACTTTGATCTGAGCATTAACGATCGTACAACTGACCACTCATGTTGAATAGTTAGAACTGAAGTATAAATATCGGTCTGCATGTGTGGGTAAGCGATATATGGTGGGTCTAAGTCAGCCATCTTCGTTTAAGGTGTATCAAGGTGCCTAGGAATGGGACCTGATCTTCTTGTTCTAGTGCAAACGTAAACTTGATGTTCGGGTCGATGCTATTAATTTAGATGTAAAGATGCGATGTTGTACTCATGTATAACCACGAAGATATCGTCAACGTACCGAAACCAAACAGACGGAGGGTACGGTGCTGAAGGGAGTGCCTTGACCTCAAACTTTTCCATATACAGATTTGCGATAATTGGGGACACTGTGAAACTGCCAGATCACGGGAATCAAGATTTTCTGAATAATTATGTGAAGACTAGAGGTAAAACACTTAGGCTACTGCTGTAGGAGAACTCATCAAATTGGCAAACCATAGAATTACTCAGAACAACATCTCAGTTATTCACCGAGAAGAAAGGTATTGGTCAAGGAAAATAAGAGAATCTATGGAAATTCGGACCAGGCACCCCACCCTCAATCGTGACCGTGAATACGAGCTACCGGCAGTACTGAATGAGATGTTTTCACATGATCATTCAAATTCCATTGCATGCTTGAATGATCAAGTGGATCTGTGTAAATACATCAGTTTCCCTCAAGAAGTTGCTGAGACAGTAACGAAAGCTTGGAAGTAAAGTAAGATATATTTTATTTCAAATAATTCCAATTACAAGAATTTATCCACTTGATATTATGAGTATTGGAATAGTACCAAATATTTTTGACAATTTAAATGTACTCTTCACCATGGTAACATACATGTAACCCCGAACAATATAATTTTTTATTTTGAATAAAGGCACATCCATGGAAAAGGTATAAAAAGATGAATTTTCATGGGGAAGTCATTAATTGCAAAGTTATAATTAATCTGAAAAGGTTCTGTAGTATCATGTTCTTTTTAACAGATCGCAACGAGGCAATTGTTGTATTGACCATAATTGGAACTATAGCCTCCGTTTTATTACTTACCTTAATAATCACCGGAATAATGTGTTTCATACATCGAAAAAATCATGGTCACCATGAAGTTCCATACGGTATCGGGCAGTATGGTGGTGGCAAAGTTGTACGAAACTTTCACAGTTATGGATTTGGTGATTCAGATACTATGACATCAGACGATAGTTTAATGTATCAAGTGACTAACGCATTAAGAATTGCAAACTTACAAGTAAGCTTCGTTCAATTAGAACTAATTCTTTTTCTTCTCATTGACACCTATTATTATTAGTAGTAAGCCTAGTATGTATTAATCATATTAATACTATTATTAAGGAATTTCATTTTCAACATATCATTTGATTTTCTATCTAGAAAAGAAAGAAAATACAGTCCGTTAGAAACTTTCAAAACCATACAAAGAATGTATGCAGATATGTTTTTCCTTTTGTTGTTCCGAGAAATATATTTTCTAATTTTTCTTTAAATTTAATAATTATAATAATACTCCATTTCAGGAAAGTGAAGTAGGTAGCAGCGCCGACGAATTCATTAGACCATACGTGGCGGACGGAAGAGAAGAAATGCGGGTAAAAATAAGACTAAATTCTTACATAAGTTGATCAATTATAATTGTAGGCCTAAAGGAGGCGTTGCATATCACATGGGTCACGCCCTCCCTTTTACAACAAGCAACTTTTACATGTCAATTTAACTTTGTCATTCTGATGTTCATCATTACGTTATTCATCTTTATTCATGCCTTCCTTCTTCTTTACAGTTCAATCGATTAATTAAAATGTAATGTCTTGTTGTTTGTTTCGAATAGTTATGGCTCAATTTAAATTTATTTAAAATGCAATGCTTCACAGTTGATCACACCCTTTATAAAGGATACTGCATATTGCAATCGTTTCACTGAAGATGGCAAAGGATTTGCCGAAACATGTTCCTTAATACAGAGTTGTTATAATAAAATAATTATTGTGTTCTTATA